TGCAAGACTGAACGTATTTCTGCACAAAGCGGTACATTTCTCGCCAGTAATATCGTTGGCGCAGCCTTTCGTAGGCTTTCAGGACACCTGCGTGAGCACTTTGGTGATTTGCATGGAAATTCATGCAAATGTCAGAGCGCATATGAGTTGGGACAGCAAGGAGCCATTTCCGACCACCAGGCATGTAGTTGCCGCAATACAAAATGTTGTTTCGCATGGAAAAGTGGGCTGCTTGCAGGCGTAGCGCTCTCGTGGAAGGGACAGCAGACGGATCGGTAAGGTAGTCGAGTAACAATGCAAGGTATGGGTCTTTACGCTGCTCCAAAAGCATGTCAGTGGTGTTGATTGGTGACAAGGTGGTAAAAAGGGGTGACAGAGAGCCACATCTGGTGTTAATGGCAATCGCGAAAGTGCATCGGCATCCGCATGCTTGTGACCAGAACGATATACAACACGGATGTTGTATTCTTGCTATCAAAGTGCCCAACGCCCCAGGCGTCCGGACGGGTTTTTAAAGGTGGACAGTCAACATAGAGCATGGTGGTCTGTGACCACATCGAAAGAACGGCCGTAAAGGTACGGGCGAAACTTCGTCAACGCCCAGATTATGGCTAAACACTCCTTCTCTGTCATGGAGTAATTCAATTCAGCCTTCTTGAGAGCGCGACTCTCATAGGCGACTATATATTCGGCTTGGGTGCCTTTTCTTTGTGCCAGCCCCGCCGCGGTGGTCTAGTGGCTAAGGTACTCGGCTGCTGACCCGCAGGTCGCGGGTTCGATTCCCGGCTGCGGCGACTGCATTTCCGATGGAGGCGGAAATGTTGTAGGCCTGTGTACTCAGATTTGGGTGCACGTTAAAGAACCCCAGGTGGTCAAAATTTCCGGAGCCCTCCACTACGGCGTCTCTCATAATCAAATGGTGGTTTTGGGACGTTAAACCCCACAAATCAATCAATTAATCTTTGTGCCAAAACTGCACCAAGACCGATGCCACTTGCATCGGTGTGAATTTCTGGGGCAGCAGCGGGGTCGTAGTGACGAAGAATAGGTGGTGAGGTCAGCAGGCAGCGCAGCTGGCGAAATGCGTCGTCACATGCAGGTGACCATGCAGGTATACCTTTGCTGTTGGAAAGCATACTCGTGAGAGGAGCGATGATGGACGCGAAGTTGCGCACGAAGTGACGAAAGTTGGAGCAGAGACCGACGAAACTTCTTAGGGCTTTCAGTGATGTGGGCAACGGAAAGTCAGCGACAGCTCGAAGCTTATCGGGATCCGGAAGAACACCGCCTCTTGTGATGACCTGTCCCAAGATGGTTTGTTTTCGTGCTGCGAAGTGGCACTTCTTGGAGTTAAGTTGTAGGCCTGCAGAAGTTAGACACGTCAGAATCTCGTGGAGGCGAATGAGATGTGTCGGGAAATCAGATGAAAAGACTACGATGTTGTCCAGGTAACACAAGCAAGTTTTCCACTTGTGGGCACACAAGATGGTATCGATCATGTGCTTAAATGTGGCAGGTGCATTGCAGAGCCCAAATGGCATGACATTGAACTCATGTAGGCCATCCGGCGTTACAAAGGCTGTTTTAGGGCGATAAAATTCAGCCATTGGCACCTGCCAATACCCAGAATACAGATCCAACGATGTAAAGTACTCGGCACCTTGTAAACAGTCAAGACCATTGTCTATTCGTGGTAGCGGGTAATTGTTTAAGCGGCGGCAATAGTCCACGCAAAATTGAACGGTGCCATCCTTTTTCTTTACCAGAACCACAGGTAATGACCAAGCACTTTGAGAAGGCTGTATGACTCCACGTTCAAGCATGTCATCTACTTGCTCCGTAATGACGCGGCACTCTTCGGCGGAAACGCGGTAAGGACGCTGTACACGCCGTACGCGGTAAGGACGCCGTACACACAGCCGAGGGGTGAATGCGTTGCGCGCTAGCCATGGACAGCACCATGCCACAGAGAGATGTGGTCACTTTCTTCAGTTTCCGACAAAATTTTGCGTTCATCACAGAAACGGCGGCCCCAGTATCAATTAACGCTAATGTGGCGACTCCCTCAACATCGACATCAACAACATTTTGCGGCGAAAATGGAGGCCTTGGGAATTGCGCACAAGTTGCAGTTCTTGCCTTCGGAACAGCACTGATTAGTTTCCCTCCTCAGGAGGTGGTCGACGACGTATAGGCGATGGGGATCGGCGACGAGGGGATGGGAAACGAGCAGTCGATGGGCGGCGATCCGAGTTGGAGTGCCTCTGTTCATATGCAGACGTGCTGGCCTGCTGCAGCGCGTAGGTAAGAGTTCCGAAGCATGCGTGCGCAGGTGTGGAACGGTGGCGGCAGAAGCGTGCAATGTGGCCAGCGATGCCACACACGAAGCAGATAGGACGATTGTCTTTGGTGCGCCACTCATTAGAGGAATGGAAAAAGCGAGGTGGGGGCTTGTAAATTGGAGGGGACGCCGGAGGAGCTGGAGCCGATAAGGCGACTGGATGCGGTGGGGGCTGTGCGACCACAGCTGCGTAGCTGAGAGGTGAAGGTGGCGCAGGTGTGCATAGCCGGCAGTTGAAAGATCAGATGGTACCAACGTGCATGGGTAAGGGACCGGAACTGTAGGGAGGGCATCGCAAATTTCAGTGCGTATGGCCTCTGCTGTGTCGAAGGGAGGCATGTGGTGGGCGCGTCGCTATGCGGCAGCAGGGAGAGCTGTCGGGCGACTTCCTCTCTGATGAAGTCTTTAATCTGGTTCGACAGAGTTTCTTGGCGAACGTTGACATTTGCGAGTGTGACGGCCGAAATCAAATCTGGTGATGGGACACTGTCGGGCGACAGAACGCTGACGAGGCAATTCATCGAAGCTCTGGCACAGGCTTACGAGGATTGCCACTGTGTTCGGGCTTTTTGCCAGCAACATCTGGGATGCGCCATCCTCGATGCCTTTGAGAATCTGTCGAATTTTCTCCTCTTCAGGCATAGATGGGTTAACACGCCTGCAGAGGTTGAGCACATCCTCAATATAACTAGTAAACATCTCGTCAGGCTGCTGGGCTCGGTGGCGTAGACGCTGGTCAGTGCCTAGTTTGTGGACCTCTGGTCGGCCGAACGCTTCGGTCACGAGGGTCTTAAAGGCGGACCAGTTTGCGATGGCGGTTTCGCGGCTGGAAAACCATAGCTTAGCGACGTCACTCAAGTAAAAGATAACATAGGCGAGTTTAGAGTCATTGTCCCACTTGTTGCTGGCACTTACGCGTTCGTACAAGGAGAGCCATTCTTCGATGTCTTGCTCACCACTGCCGCTGAAGATTGGTGCGTCTCGCTGACGGGTAGTGCCGGGGCTGGTCGACCGGGCAGCCGATGAAGCTGGCTGTGCTGGAATGGGCTGGTTGGCGACTGCATCGGTCATGTTTTACGGTGGTCTTTCGGCCAACTTGCGAGAGCGGAGCTCTAGGTCTGCTTAGGGATCTCAGCAGCCTCCACCAAATGTGATGATGTTTATTCAAACAGGAGTGGCAACGAGGTCGCGACGGAAAATGGGTCTACGGCAAGTCTGGCAAAGGTGGCACAGGTTCTCGCGCAATCAGAGCATGGGGTTTTTCGTTCTCTTTGGAAGGCGCATACGCGTTAGTGCGTATGCTCCACACTACATGAGTCTTTTTGCTCAGTTCTGGAACTTATTGGCAAAAGAGCAGCACTGGTCGTTGTTCACAGTACACGCAGCTGTAGCGGCGGCTATGCTGCATTTTAATGCCGGTAATGAGCATGCTGCTGTGGCCGTGCTAGCAGAACTGAATCTGGACATAATACCCACTGGGTCCAACAGGGCAAGGGGAAGGACCTGCGGCATAGCACAAGTTCTGCTAAAAAAAGAGCAGCATCACTAAGGCAGTGAAGAAAAGGCACAATGACAAAATGCATCCCGATTACTCCCCTGGATCATTTTGAGATACTTTTTCTTTGGAGGGAGAGTGTGTAAATAAATGTTTTTTTATCTGTTTCCTCAAAGTGACATTTCTAATGATGTCATATTGGAACAACAATATCTCTGGTTCTACTCAACCAGTCTCAATAATTCTTTTTTTGTCAGAAACGTGGTAAATTAACAAGTGCAGTAGGACTAGTATATAACTATATATCATTAAAGAACATTACTAAAAATAATTCTTTTTGAAGTTATTATTAGGTTTATAAGTGAATTTTGAGATGCCCTAATTTAATTCGAGATTGTTGGAAAATGTTAATTCTTGCCTGATTGAACCCCTGTATCATCCTTGATGACTTTAGTGTTGAAGTAATTTCCATAATTATTTGTTATTTGTCTGGAAATGTTTTTTTCATTTTCTCAAAACTGTGTTTTTGATCATCGTGTAGTTTCGGAGTGACGATATCTCTGGTCATACTTATCACATTGTTGATTCTTGTTTTTTTTAGAAAAGGGGACAAATGGAGAGTGCAGTAGGCATAAAACTCGAAGGAGTAATATGAGAGATGTTTTCAAAAAGTAATAATTCCTCTAGGGTGTTACCAAAGCACAAAAGTTTGACATGCGGTAACTTTGGCCCAAATCAGTCTAGAGCATTTATTCTTGTAGCACTGCAAGCTCTGACCATACAACATCATTTTGATATGCTACTGTCTTTCATCACTACCAGCATTCAAGAGAAAACTCACCTCCAAATTAGTCAATGCAAGAAACATTATTTTTCTCAGTATCTTGAAAAGTACTTGTTGCACAGAAAAAGTAATTGCATATTTAAAATCAGCATGTCAAAATATGTAAACGATTAAAGGTTGATCAAAATTCATCCATAATTAAAAACATTTCTTTAATTGAGTGTCCTTCTTTAAGAGCAGCACTCTTACTGTTCACAAGATGTTCTTGTTGTCTTGTTTTTACACACGCACTTTACTATAATGCTTTCTGTTTGATCATATCTTAGGCTGTCTGTTTTATTTGACCTAATCACTGATCTACACAAATTATTTGCTTTCAGGGTCCGGAAGAACAGTTACAAGGCTACGGAAGTGTCGCAAGAAGCTTCCCAATGGTTTAAGAACTTCCTCAACTGTGATAGCATTCGGCTTGTAAGAATCATTTTGGACGAGGAGACCATTAATCGAGGAAGGGATGGCACTGCTTCGGTAATGCATTTGTTTTTTAATTCTACTGCTAAAAGGGGAAGCGAGGCTGGGCTAAAATATTTTTTTCACCTTGCTGGGGGAATGAATGTCACTTAACTATGCTTTTTTTTGGTGGGCTGTCATTTCCGAACTCCCCAAGAAAACATCTGTGTCATCAGACATTTTGTGTACTGCAACAAAGGAAGCCCATGCAAATGGGGTCAGATTTTCTTCTGTGTAGTTCCTGTGAGCTGTGTTGGGGGGAAAGGTGATCCTGCTGTTCGAGTCAATAGCCAGTGGGGGGAGCTGTATGGTCCCTTGGCAGAGGCAACACACCTCTTTGGCCTCAGCTTTACCTACACTGCACACCTGCTCTGGAGAAGTGTGTGGTTCAATTTTCCTGTCACCTTCTACAACCTTTCAGTTTACTCTCTGGTTTCCTTTTGTCAGTTGTACTTAATTCTACATATCTTTGCTGCATGAGTTAACCTTAGTTGTGGAGTTTTTCATTTCAACATGTTCAGTTGTAGGAATGTACATGCGAAAGTGTAAAAAGCAGGCATTGTTGGTTGTACATGCTCTGAAAACAGTGCGAAAATCACAGAAAGGGAACCCTTACAGCGCTGACTCTTAACAATTAATTATCAAAACACCCACCCATAAATACATAAAATAACCACTCATAGTATACCACGTGGCAGGACATAGCACAGGTAGGCCAGTAAAGTAAAAAGTTGGGCGAGTTGGTGCTGGTTCATGATGATAAGGGGCGCGAAAAAAACGACACACAACAGAGAAGAAGTACGCGCGTCGTCCCGTGTACTTCTTCTCTGTTGTGTGTCGTTTTTTTCGCGCCCCTTATCATCATGAACCAGGTAGGCCACCTACAGCACAACTAAGACAGATTACGAAAATCTCTTTTGTAGATGATCCAGTTCTTTGGGCAATTGTGTGATTGACAGGGTGCTGACACAGTTGTCACCCAACTGTGCAATCTGATACGCTTCAACAATATCACGTATTAAGCAATTATAGTGCTTGCTCACTTATGGCCGTGCTAGACTGTATCTGTATGCACTTCTTTCCTTGCGGCCTTCTCAGCCATCGCGAAAGCAATGGGAGAGTTTTTGAGTATGTTTCGCCACCCGTCGGCGGTAGAGGCGCTGTGACTCTGACTTTGTGTCTCCTGCGCCGTGCACACGGCACAAGAGTTGCTCGATTTAAAACCACACAATGGCGGTTCTCGGCGGAGGGGGCGGGGGGGGATATTTTAGAAGTCGAGAGTAGAAGGATCGTCTCTAAAAAAACCTAATATTATCAGACGGCTCACCGCATAATGTAGGTATGCATGTGCCCATGAATAATACAGGCTGAAACTTAGTAAAAATGCGGAAGAATCGGCTAACCAGGCATAATGCAGGAGGCATAAAGCTCTGGTATAGAAGAGAGAGAGATTAACAATGCTGCACCTGTTCTGCAAGCATAGAGCATAAAATACTTTGGTCTCTTAGACAACGAGGCCACAATTAAGAGAGGTCGCTTACCGAAAAGATGAGCACACCTTCTCTTTGCTAGCTATTTTCTGTTTATTTATTTTCCCAAATACATTTGACGTGGCTTTCAGGGCTAAAAGCTGAGGTCTACAGCTTGACAGCTCTTTGCAACATGTACGTGTGTTGTATCTTTGATGGTTAAAAATAACTGCTTATATGGAGAAATTACAAAAAGAAGAAAGGACTCTTGTTGCTCATAACTCCTTTGAACTGCACGCCGTGAGAGTGGTGGTAGGCGTGTTAACACCACCTGGAAACACCGATTCCGGGGACTCCGAGCTCTTTTGCATTCCGTTGTACTGCAAGCCACGTCCATGAAGAATGCAATGAATGCAGCTACTTATGCTCGCAAGTCACTTGCCTTGGAACTAAAACTCTCTAATGCAAAGCAGTTTGCGCTATTCTTCGAGTTCGTGGAAGAACATGTTTAAAAGGAGAAACTCGCAACATTCCAACTTTTCGGCAGGTAAGCTGCTTCTTGCTAAGAAATTTGTATCAATTCTCTTACGACTTAGTGCTACAAGCTGGTTGTTGTCAGTTTCTTTTTCTCTCTAGTGGGGCCTGCTTCATTCTGGGATTAATTCACCGTGGCTGCATTTCATTCAGTGCTTTCTCAGTGTTCAGTCTGCAGTGATTTTTCGACTCGAGAACACGGTTGTACAACCTTCAGTATGCACAGTACATACATGGATATATATTAGTTGTGTGATGGTATATTGCTGTGCTCCGTATTGCAAGTCTCATTCGAGGAAAGCATCCAGTGTTTCTTTTCACCAATTCCCAAGCAATACTGAGCTGTGCACTGAATGCCACAAGGATATTGCAAGAGACAACCTCATCATCGAGTCTGCTAAGGCGCGTTGCCGTGCTAGTTGGTTGGAGTTCATCATTCATATGGGTATAGCACACCACAACAAGTAGCGCCGTTTGTATCTGTTTTGTGTCCTTGTCGGGGTGTGCTATACCCATATGAACTAGTCTGTATCGACTGTTGTATGCAGCAAACACTTCTGCAATGAAGACTATGTGGCTGCATGCCGCATCTGAAAACTTCTTTCTGACTACACGCCTACTTTCTTCGAAAACTATTCGTCGTGCTTGATTTCAAGGCCTCGCAAAGATCTTGCTTTAAGAGCTTTGCCCCTATGTCAAACATCAAGGAAGCAAGAAGTGGAGACCAACGAACCACATCTACATGTTGCGGCTTCACAAGATGCTTTAAACAAACAAGGAGCAGTAAGTGTTTGCACGCAAACAACGAACAGCGACGCTCATCGCGTGGGCTGATACCCAACTATGATAAGAAGATTGCTATTGCAAGTGTTGTACCATTGTTCAAAACCTGAAAAGGTGCGGCAATTGCTGAAAAATGAGGAAAAAGATGTCCGAATATTATCGTGAAAACAAGCACCACGCATGTGTTAAGAAAATTCTAACAGATGCACAGAATGGAGAGAAAGAGGCCCTGTTTCTTTTGCATCAAATAATATGGGACGGAAAAAACCATTCAGCATACCCAGACAAAGTTGTTATAAGGAGTGTTTGATATGGTGCTTTCTGTCCCCAAGACGCTACAGTCATGCTCGCACTTTGGGGCTTCTGACTCTGCAAACGAAGTGCACTCTTCAGAGGTATGTAGTCGAACATCATTGGGTATGAGCAATGCCATAAGCCATTTGTGTGTGCGCCTTCAATGATTAGGCAATTTAATTTTCAACGTGCGGTGAGTGAAGAAGTGTGCCCAAACTTATGTGCCAATGTTGCCAGCGCTGCATGGAGCGGCTGAGGATGGTCAGCGTCGCAGCGCCCCCCTCAAAGCAGCAGCGGGAGGTATGTACTACACCCAATGCGAAAGCCATGATAAGTGAGCGCGCAGGTGCAGTTTAGCCCAGCCGTGGCTCACTACACTACATTTATTGAAAATCGGGGAACACATGCATGGCCGACAGTGAATGGGTCAGTTTCACGTGTTAAGCAGTTACGGTGTTTGCTCACTACACTTCTTGGAAGCTGGTGAAAGCATGCATGACTGACAGTAGATTGGTTAGCCATCCGCTGTCGATCATGCACATATTCATATCCTGTGTGAGCTGATTTCATTTTATACCTGCGAACTTCCTAATTTCATCACTCTATGTAATGGCTTATTCGGTTGGTCGTTCTGGTCTTCTGGCTCAGAGTCGCCATACGCAGAGGCAGCTCGCAGTCGGAGCGCCAGAGGCAGTGTACCAACCGAATACATCGGTGATCTCAGGGCGCTTAGAGCAGCGCGCCTGTAGCACCACTGTGCAGCCAGTGCGGTAAGCTGGCGGGTAAACACCCGGCTGGGCTAGACCGCACCTGCGCGCTCTCTTCTTACGGCCTTCGAAACAGGTGCAGTACATGCCTCTCGCCACTCCTTTGAGGGGGGCGCTGCGACCCTGCCATCTTTCGCGGCTATGTACAGCGCGCGCCACGCCAGCACATGAGTTCGGGCGTGCTTCTCCACTCACTGCTTGTTGAAAAACAAGTTGCTTAATCATTGAAGACGCACAAATGTTGTGTGGCGTTACTCATACCTGATGATGCTGGGCTTGAACCTATGCACCTTTGGAGAGTGCACTTTGTTGGCAGTGTCACAAGCCCTGCAGTGTGCACATGATTGTAGCCTCTTTGTGACAAAAAGCGGCATACCACACACCACTTACAAAATCGTCTGGGTACACTGAATACTTTCTTCCGTCACATTTCATTTATAGCAAAAGAAACACAACCTTTTGCTTTCCTTTCTGTGCATCTGCTGCGATTTTCTTAACGCATGCGTAGTGCTTGCTTTCACGACAATATTGGGATACATTTTTTTCTTTCAGCAATCACTGCACTTTCTTGCCTTTTAAATGATGGTGTGACAATTGGGAGCGTAATCGTCCTATCATAGTTTGATATCGACCCACCCGATGAGCATCGCTGTTTATTGTTTGCGCACAAACACTTGCTGCTTCCTGTTCAGCGAAACGTCTTGTGAAGTTCCAACATTCTGATCTGTTTCGTTGGTCTCCGTCTTTTGCTTCCTTGATGTTTCACGTAGGTGCCAAACTCGTGAAGCAGGATCTTTGCGAGGATTTTATGCACATGAAATCATGTAGGACAGATAGTTCTCAAAAAGAGTAGGCGCGGAACGCAGGTACATAGTCTTCATCATGCAAGTGTCTGTTGCATACGACTGTCGATGCAGACTTGTCTTTGATGATAAGGTTGTCTCTCGCAATATTCTTTTGTCACTTGGTGCACAGCTCAGTATTGTTTGGGAATTGGTGAAAAGGAACACCAGGTGTTTTCTCCGAACGGGACTTGCAATACGGAATCATGGCGATCGAGCGGCAGTAACGGAACACAGCAATGTACCTTTACACAGCTAATATATATCCATGTGCGTAATGCATGCACTGAAGGTTGTGCGACTGCCTTCTTGGCTCAAAAAATTACTGT